TGTCTGCCCGGGCAGTCTCTCCTCGGCAGATCAGGACCCCGCAGCCACGTGATCACTCGATCACGTGGCTGCAATAGGTACCTGTGTATCTGCCTGCAGGGGGACTGTCTGTGCTGACAGGCAGTCTCCCTGCAAGTAAAAAATAAAAAAATAAAGTTACAGAATAAAGCAATCAGTGTAAAAAAAAAATATGTATATATATATGATATATATACATGTATTATATCTATATATAATATATGTATATATATCATATTTATATATAATGTCATACTAAGTGTATTTTCATATTTATATATACGTATATCAATATAAAAATACACTTTTAATTTAAATTACACATGTATATATACAATATATATTATAACTATATATATTGTGTGTGTATATATATATATATATATATATTATAAATTATAAATAATATGTTAATAAAAATAAAAGTAAAAATATTTTTTAATAATTAAAAAATAATATATATATATATATATATATATATAAAGCAATGTTTTTCTTGGCACTCACCCTTTCAAATGTGTAGCTCAATATCGCCTGGGTGCAATCCCATGTAGATAAAATATATAGAGGATAAAGAGATGCACTCTCAGGACTTTGAAAAAAATAGTTAATTTATTCCAGCAGGTATAACATCAAAGTTTGCCGATGTTTCGACCCATTCGGGTCTTTCTCAAGGTCAATGTACCTGTGCTTACAAGCCATTTATATAGGACATAAAAAGAAGTACTCACCAATCTGTGAAGAACCCCCTGAATCCCTCCGTGCACACCCGGAAGTGAAACCGGAAATAGAACCCACGATCACATGATCCACGCATAAGTGATCATGTGGTGTTGCTAAGATACCGATAGGAAAACAATTAATTATAAGATCGGTAAATATCTCATAGATGTGCAAGTGAAATGTCTAATATCAATCTATTGATGAAATCTGATTAAAGTGCAGAGTGCATAAATCCGCAAAAATGCAGCCTAATATAAAAAAATAAGCAAAGATCATAAGATCAAATATACTGTGTAAAGTGTCACCATATATCTAAAGAAGTGATCAAAAAAATAAAGAATGTTATGTTAAAAACATTTCACCAACCATGTCAAGTTTAGAAGGCATTTAGCTGAAGCAATCTATAACAAAAAAAAAAGGTAGCAGACTAAAAAAGGGAAAAAAAAGCCATTAGAATAAAGGCTCCAAAAAACCAATAAGGATCACAAATATACTTAGAGAAAAAGGGAAACCATATGATTATTCAAAGAACATTATTATTAAAGAAACATAGAGAGCACAATATTCTCGTTGAGCACAATATTCTCGTTGAGTCCTCTTGGTGTCACTGTGTCCAGCCGATGGATCCATTGTGCCTCACGTTGAAGTAGTTTCTTTGATCTGTCACCCCCTCTGGACATTGGGGGGACATGATCAATAGCCGTGAAACGTAACAGAGGAAGTCTATGTTGCATATGTAGGAAATGTTTAGCGACTGGCTTATCGCTATATTGATCTCTAAATGCTGTTGTTATGGTCGACCGATGTCCCCTTATGCGGTCTCTCAACGTCAAGTCGGTTTTGCCAACGTACGAAAGTCCGCAGGGACATGTGATCATGTATATCACATGGTCAGTGGTACACGTGATATAATGAGATATTTTAATTCTCTGACCGCTATGGGGATGAGCAAAGGTCGTGCCACTGACCATGTGACTACATGTCACACATCCACTGCATTTATAACAACCTTTCTTCACAATACTCCTCGGTTTACGGTAGCAAATTTCTGGGTCACTCTTCACCAGAAGGTCCTTTAAGTTTTTGTTTCTTCTGTAACTGATAACAGGGGAACTCATGAATGTATGAGGTAGTGATTTATCTGAATGTAATATATCCCAATGTCTTTGGATAGATTGTCTAATTTTCGATGTTCCAGTGTGAAAAGTCATGGGAAGATAAATTTTTGGTTCTTTTGGTACCTTCTTAGTTTTATCATTCAATCTTTCTTGATTCCATATATTCAAAGCTTTAGTTTGTGCTATTTGGAGAGTTTGTGGACGATAACCTCGCATACGAAATCTCTCCCACATTTCTTCCAATTGGGCTCTTCGTTTTTCGGTTTCTGTATTATATCTTAATGTCCTTAAGAATTGGGAGACCGGGAGTGATTTCTTAAGTTGTTGTGGATGAAAACTGGAGGCAGATATTACAATTGGAGTACTTGGATACTCACACAGCTCAGTACCTCACAGTTGAGCACCCCAGATATCCGGTACTGTATACGCTACCCAAGATCCATAAAGACCCACTACAATCACCAGGAAGACCCATAGTTTCGGCTAGAGATGGCATAATCGAACCAATTGCCAAATATATTGATACTTTTATTAAAGATAGCATTATGGCTTTGCCTACATGCTTACGAGACACACGGGACTTTATGTCCAGAATCCTACAAACACCACATGTGGAGTCGACATCCTTATTAGTTACGATGGATGTCCAGAGCCTGTACACCATCATACCTCATAGGGAGGGTGTACAGGCTTTGAGGGAGATCCTGGTCAAATCTACCATATATGAAGGTCCGCCAATTGAATTCTTGTTGGAATTTCTAATGATTGCACTTACATGCAACTATTTTAAATATGAAAACCAATTCTATGTGCAAGTATCCGGCACTGCGATGGGGGCGGCAATGGCACCATCATATGCTAATGCCTTCATGTACATTTTTGAATGTGATCATATTTTGGAAAAATTTGGACAACATATTCAACATTATTATCGGTTTGTAGATGACCTGTTCATGATTTGGACAGGTACCAGGATAGATCTGGAACAAATGATTCATGAAATAAATCAATCTTCTACACCTGTTATACTGAGTTATCAAATTGATGAAAAATCAATTCAATTTTTGGATGTCACCATCTATAAAAAAGAAAACAAATTGGAATTTACTTTATACCGTAAAAATACGGATCGTAATACTCTCTTATCTGCCTCCAGTTTTCATCCACAACAACTTAAGAAATCACTCCCGGTCTCCCAATTCTTAAGGACATTAAGATATAATACAGAAACCGAAAAACGAAGAGCCCAATTGGAAGAAATGTGGGAGAGATTTCGTATGCGAGGTTATCGTCCACAAACTCTCCAAATAGCACAAACTAAAGCTTTGAATATATGGAATCAAGAAAGATTGAATGATAAAACTAAGAAGGTACCAAAAGAACCAAAAATTTATCTTCCCATGACTTTTCACACTGGAACATCGAAAATTAGACAATCTATCCAAAGACATTGGGATATATTACGTTCAGATAAATCACTACCTCATACATTCATGAGTTCCCCTGTTATCAGTTACAGAAGAAACAAAAACTTAAAGGACCTTCTGGTGAAGAGTGACCCAGAAATGTGCTACCGTAAACCGAGGAGTATTGTGAAGAAAGGTTGTTATAAATGCAGTGGATGTGTGACATGTAGTCACATGGTCAGTGGCACAACCTTTGCTCATCCCCATAGCGGTCAGAGAATTAAAATATCTCATTATATCACGTGTACCACTGACCATGTGATATACATGATCACATGTCCCTGCGGACTTTCGTACGTTGGCAAAACCGACTTGACGTTGAGAGACCGCATAAGGGGACATCGGTCGACCATAACAACAGCATTTAGAGATCAATATAGCGATAAGCCAGTCGCTAAACATTTCCTACATATGCAACATAGACTTCCTCTGTTACGTTTCACGGCTATTGATCATGTCCCCCCAATGTCCAGAGGGGGTGACAGATCAAAGAAACTACTTTAACGTGAGGCACAATGGATCCATCGGCTGGACACAGTGACACCAAGAGGACTCAACGAGAATATTGTGCTCTCTATGTTTCTTTAATAATAATGTTCTTTGAATAATCATATGGTTTCCCTTTTTCTCTAAGTATATTTGTGATCCTTATTGGTTTTTTGGAGCCTTTATTCTAATGGCTTTTTTTCCCTTTTTTAGTCTGCTATTTTTTTATTTTTTTTTTTTTGTTATAGATTGCTTCAGCTAAATGCCTTCTAAACTTGACATGGTTGGTGAAATGTTTTTAACATAACATTCTTTATTTTTTTGATCACTTCTTTAGATATATGGTGACACTTTACACAGTATATTTGATCTTATGATCTTTGCTTATTTTTTTTATATTAGGCTGCATTTTTGCGGATTTATGCACTCTGCACTTTAATCAGATTTCATCAATAGATTGATATTAGACATTTCACTTGCACATCTATGAGATATTTACCGATCTTATAATTAATTGTTTTCCTATCGGTAGCAACACCACATGATCACTTATGCATGGATCATGTGATCGTGGGTTCTATTTCCGGTTTCACTTCCGGGTGTGCACGGAGGGATTCAGGGGGTTCTTCACAGATTGGTGAGTACTTCTTTTTATGTCCTATATAAATGGCTTGTAAGCACAGGTACATTGACCTTGAGAAAGACCCGAATGGGTCGAAATGTCGGCAAACTTTGATGTTATACCTGCTGGAATAAATTAACTATTTTTTCAAAGTCCTGAGAGTGCATCTCTTTATCCTCTATATATTTTATCTACATGGGATTGCACCCAGGCGATATTGAGCTACACATTTGAAAGGGTGAGTGCCAAGAAAAACATATATATATATATATATATATATATATATATATATATATATATATATATATATATACATACATACATACATACACACATAGTGATTTAGTTCAGGAGAAAAATATTATAACTGTATAGACTGTTTTATGGATCCGTGTCTACGGAGGACAGGTACATTTTCTATACTTAAGTAGGAAAGATAATCAGAGGAGGGACAAAGAAGGGCACATGAGATACAAACTAGGTCATCTAATTATGTAGCTTTGACAGGTGTAAATAAACAAGTAGTGAGTGCGTTGAAATGGCTTATGTGCTATACAACATTTATATTTATATTCCGCTGGATGCCTCGGCAGAGATGTCGGTGCAGGCAAGGAGTTGGATAACTCTGTAGTGCCAATCAGCGTGATATCCCTGGGGCAGCTTTAGGCCCACACCGCATAGTGGCTTTGGAGGAGAGTCTTTCACTCTGAGACGCATAACCGGTGAGAGAACGGTTGGACAATGACCGGGGGTGGCGTCCTTCCAGCCCTGGATCCTTGTAGTGGCCAACACCACTAAGCCACAGACTTGAGGGCTCTGCGAATCCTTCCTAGGAGTGGGATTGCGCGAGGTCCTGATGGTATGGTACCGGCAGGCCTTCGCTTGTGTGGGCAGTGTTTCCTGGGCAAGCCCTTTGTGGCCCTCAGTCCAGGGCGGGTGTTCTTTGGGGGAGACAGGAGTGTGCTCGATATGATTGCCCAGAGGGGGCCTTCCCTGCACTTTCTTCCGATTCTGCTTTGCCGGTGTTGCAGATGAGGAGGTGGGGGTAGCCATATGTGCCCTCAGCTTGGCCCAAAATCTGGCAAATATAGCCTTCAGCGAGGTTGTGGAGCCGCTTAGGTAGCTGGGTTTCTCGGTAGGTGGATGCAGTGTACCTCGAGGTGCATGTGTGAGTGCTTCCACCATCTTGGAGTCGGCAGGGTCGCTGTGCCGTGTAGTGTTTCTCGCCATGCTTCAGAGGCCACCGTGCAGCAGGCCAGCGGGGACCTGATTTACCCCCACCGGTCCAGAGGTAGGAGCGTGGGTGAGTAACTTCAGCTTGTGGAGTAGGGAGAGTGGCCATCTCCCCCAAGCCCCGTCTTAGTAGGCCTCAGCTCGGCGCGTCATGCCCTCGATCACGGAGTAGTCGGTGTGGTGTGTATCGTGTCAGTGGGTTGTCCCCCGGGTAATTGAGACACACAAGAAGCTGTGTACGGGCTTGTTGCCCAGGTGGAACCCCCGATTTAGAGCTGAATATGCCAGAGCTCGCTTTCCATGCTTCTGGTCAGCTTGGCGGTCAAGCTCCGCCCCTTAACATAATTTGTTTTATTTTTTTGTGTGTCACCATACAGTTGACTTTGTAGAGCTGCCTGTTATAACTGGAATAATAGTCTCTCATTTTAGATTGTATGATACAGTCAAACTCTTAAAAGAACCAATTATGAATTGTTAACGAAAAGAACACATTTGAATGGTTTCCATTATTTCAAGCATACTAGATTATATTTGGATGCTGCGTTGACCTTTTGACTCAGGCAGTCACTTGAGCATGTTTTTCAAGCTCCTAGTGTCTGTGTATATGGGATCAATAATAAAACTGTATCATTACAGAGAATGCATTGCAGTATACCATTCAATACTGTTATATGCTAACTGAGCACGCATGCAGTGTAACACTTACTAACCATTTCTATTTTGGGGTAATCGTTTAAATATTTGACTTATGTTACCGATTGTGTTAAGTGTATGATCAAAGTTTTAAAAGTTTCTCTTTTCTTGAAGTCAGTAAGCGTATACTCCACTCCTAAAACAGCTTCATCTTAAAGGACCACTATCGTGCCTGGAAAACATACTCTGGTCCCCCTCCCGCCAGGCTGGATGGCGAGGAAAGGGGTTAAATTTACCTTTATTCCAGCGCCGGGCGGGGAGTTCTCCGCCTCCGATCCTCCTCCTGGGCTGCATGCGCGGCAGGAGCTGCGCGCGCATTCAGCCGGTCTCATAGGAAAGCATTCATAATGCTTTCCTATGGACGCTGGCGTCTTATCACTGTGATTTTCAGTGAGAAGCACGCGAGCGCCTCTAGCGGCTGTCAATGAGACAGCCACTAGAGGCTTTAGAGGCTGGATTAACCCATTTATAAACATAGCAGTTTCTCTGAAACTATGTTGATAAAAAAGGGGGTTAATCCTAGAGGGACCTGGCACCCAGACCACTTCATTAAGCTGAAGTGGTTTTGGTGCCTAGAGTGGTCCTTTTAATGAAGTTATTTTGAGGGTTGTAGCCCCTTAACTGTTTTCAACTTCAAGTTGTTTACTCAGTAAATACCTCCCAAGTGTTCCTATTTAGGAGGCACAGTCCCTATTTTGGGCTTAAATTCTTCTGTCCCTTTTTTTTTTCTATCTTAAGGTCTCTCTCTTCTAGTATTTACATATTGTTTGTGTGTGAGTGTATAACAGAGCTCCATAACAATATAACTGCTGTGTGTATTTTATGACTATGTATCTCATTCATTCTGGCTGATTTCTAAACACATTTATTGTAGTTTAAATTCTGTTTTTGTTGCGTAAATTAAGTCCCCTAAAATAGACCTGGTCCTGGCCACAACTGTATAAATTGTCTTTCTTTGTCCATTTTTGAAATGTTGGTAAGTATGTGCAGTAGTGAACATCTACAGTATCTATTTCCTCCTCTGCTCTGTTGTCATAAGAGGCAGGAAGGTAAGCAATGGGTGCCGGTGATATGCTGACCGTTCAAAGCCTTTCACTGGCTGCCCATTATGGGCAACTGAGCATGTGCTATTGTAAGGTAAAGGCGTAAGCTCCTATGAGTATATTTTATAAAGATTACTAATGTTTATCACATTGTAATTTCACTGAAATGCTGATGTTAACATAAGATAAGCCATAATGTGGACTACTTTGTTTTATGGACAAGTCCCACGTTTACAAAAGGTGAAGCTTATAAACAGTATTTTTGTTCCATTATTTCCATGGCTCTGTTTCGTTTATGTGCAAAGTTGTCCGAAACATTTTTAATCCATTCTATTACAGTCTTCCTAGCTTCTTGTTGACTTAAATTCTTATCAGGTTGACATCTGCATATAACAGGTCAATGAAAATCTAGTTTAAAGGGACACGCGAGGCACATAAGGTGGAAGAAGTGTTTTCTAGACCAGTGACTTTTGCCATAAGCTTCCTTAAAGATACACTATAGGCACCCACACCACCTTATCTTATTTGAAGTTTCCCTGTTGTCTTAACCCTGCAATATAAACCTTTCCCTTTTACAGAAACTGCAATGTTTACAATTCAGTGTTAAGGCTGCCTTTTGCATGAGGACCTCAGAGTTAAAAAAAATTAAAAAAAATAAAAAATAAAAAAAATCCCATAGAAAATAAAAATTTTACATGCCCAAAACAATAGTACAATATAATAGAAAATGAAAATATACTATTTAAATGATCCTGTCCTATAAATATGATACAATTAGTCAATGAACAGTATTGGTCAATCATAAATAATATTATTATTCCAGCAAATTCTGTAGAATTGTTTGAGTAACCTCCCCCAACTAATTACTGTACTTTTTTATTTTTGTCTCCTATACAGACCTAAAAATGAATAATCTTTCATTCAGTGAATTATGCTGTCTTTTCTGCTGCCCCCCTTGCCCTGGGAAGATTGCTTCAAAGCTTGCCTTTTTGCCTCCCGATCCAACTTACACCCTTATGTGTGATGAGAGTGGGAGCCGCTGGACGCTACACCTCTCAGAAAGAGCAGACTGGCAATACTCTTCTCGGGAAAAAGATGCCATTGAGTGTTTCATGACTAGAACAAGTAGAGGAAATCGCATTGCCTGCATGTTTGTGCGCTGCTCCCCAAATGCCAAGTATACACTGCTGTTTTCTCATGGCAATGCTGTTGACCTGGGTCAGATGAGCAGCTTTTACATTGGTCTGGGCTCTCGGATTAACTGCAACATATTCTCTTATGACTACTCTGGGTACGGATCAAGTTCTGGAAAGCCAACAGAGAAGAATTTATATGCTGACATTGATGCTGCCTGGATTGCTCTTAGAACAAGGTGAGGAATCATGGTGGGTTAAAATATGAAATGATGGTACCAAATAAGACCCATTGGTTAAGGGTTTATAATAAAAGTAAAATCACTCCATGTGTTCTGGCAAATCTATGGTATGTGTACCACCATTAGCATTCAGACCTCTTGGTGATACACGCTTGCTTGCAAGCTGGCCATGAATCCTGAGAAATTTAGCATGCTAAGCCTCTTAATGCACTGACATAATGTTGTGATAATCTGTTAGCTAGTGCTGCTATTGGTGCATATCATATACTTGAGAAGGAGGCAGGTAGGAGCTGGCTAGCAATGGAAAAAGGATGCACGTGGGATTTAAAGAACGACATTGAGCATAACTACTACAGCCTGCCCCCTACAGACTACCCCTTTAAGGAAGGCGGTGGAAATAATTAAATATACGATCAAATGTGGTTTTGTGAAGGAAGCAGCTAATTTAGAGATCTATATATGTAGAGGACAAGAAGTTAGTTGAGTAGTCAATGTAAAGGGGGTATTTAAATGAGAAAGTGGAGAATTAAACAGAAGTCTGCCACTGCTACCGATCTCTAGACTGAATGTTCAAACTTTCACTTTCGTTATGGATGTCAGGAGAATCGTATGTTTATTTGCTAAACTCCACATTCTAGCAAATATATATTTTTTTAATTTGAGCTATTTTGACCTTAAATTCCACTAAAGGCACACATAACATTTTCTCGATTTGAAGTCGTCTATGTGCAGTGGTCCTTTTAGTTTTAAATCTGCAATGTAAAACATTGATATGGCAAGTAGATATGGCAATACATTGCAGAGGTAAATATGCCTCTAGCATCTGTCTAACAGACACTATCGGTGCTTCTGCTGTGGGAACAGTCACTCTCTTCTCACATATAAACTTAAACAATATCTCCACTATGAGGCGCATTGGGTTGCGCTTTCAGAAGTGTTTGTGTGACATCGCTGGAGGCATGTCAACCAACTCCTGGGACTCCATATCTGCCCTGATTCCAAAAAGAAAGTACTGACTTACACACCATTTTTATTTTATGCTTGAGATGGGTAAAAAAAAAAAAGCATAAGCAATGTTTAAAATATCTTTGTGCTTCAAGATTTTGCTCTTCTTTAAATTGTTAGCCAGCACAGTCAAGATTTTGTTTAAGAATTTTTTTTGACGCGGTCACTTTAACCATTTGATATTTCCACTATATATTTTGGTGAATTTTTTTTTTTTT